GAAGGCATCTCTGAATGCATGTAACATGATTGGACATGAAGGGAGGCGCCATTAGAATTGGCGAAAGAGTACAAAATTGAAATGTGTCGCCATCCCCATTGGCGAATAAGAGGTGGCATGGGTTGCAGAGCAGGCGCATGCTAGGTGACAGCCTTGGAGAAGGCATCTCTGAATGGATGTAACACTATTGGACGTGATGGGAGGAGCCTTAGAGGTTACAATGTAGGTGCAGAGTAGGCGCAGGCTAGGTGGCAGCCTTGGAGAAGGTATCTCTGAATGCATGTAAAACGATTGGACATGAAGGGAGGCACCATTGGACTTGGAGAAAGAGTAAAAAATTGAAAGGTGTCGCCATCCCCATTGGCGAATAAGAAGTGGCATGAGTTGCAGAGTAGGCGCAAGCTAGGTGACAGTCTTAGAGAAGGCATCTCTGAATGCATGTAAAACTATTGGACGTGATGGGAGGAGCCTTAGAGGTTACAGCCTTGGTTAATTCAAATTCAGTATGACCTATTTAGTCTTACATTTATCAAAACACTGATTCACTTAATCTCTCAAACACTAGAACATTCAAAAATTCCTGCAAATAACTGATAAACTTCAAACCTTCAAACCTTCAAACCTTCAAACAGTCATACACAATGGCCTCTGCACCCCAATATGTAATCAGTGCACATTTCAACGGTGAGACATACATTTGTCCCACCTCTGGGTTTCTGTTTAGAGACACAGACAACATCCGATTTTGTTTAAACAGGAAAGCCAATTTCTTGTACTTCAAAAAACGATTGGAGGCCAAACTTGGACGACGCCCCGTGACACAAATATTTTATCAGAATCTGTTTTATTTTTGTAACAACCAAATAATATTTTATAAGGTTAAGGTTCAAGATGACGAAGATCTTCAGAATATGTTTTTCAGTCATGAGTACTCTGGGTACGACTCTATTGAGTTGTACATTATACTGCGAGAGCCTCAGTTGTCACAAGTGATTGATCCTTTGGAGATCGAACAAGCTGAAGTAGATGCAGTTGATGAAGAAGAAGAAGATGACGAGTTGGAGTTTGACGAAATGGTCAATGATGACTCCTAAGATGAAGGGATACTTAGTATTCCTGCAAACGAGATCTACACCCCACCTCCGCACATGACAAACTTCAACATGGGCAGAGATGAACCGTCTTCTGATTTATTTTTCAATCCGTATATGCAGTCGAATGAAAACTTAAAAGAGAAATACAAATTTCATAACAGAGAAGAATGTATCAGAGCCATCAAAAAATTCCACATGCTCAACTCGGTCGATTTTAAGGTGGACCGTGTAAATCCAGAAAGGTACAAGATCAAGTGTGTCCACCCTGATTGTATGTTCAAGCTCACTGCATCATATAGATTAAGAGGTGATTGTTGGGTCATAGGTTCCATGTCTACCCACACTTGTGTCAGTTCTACTCAATCACAGGATCATCGAAAACTTAATTATGATCTCATTTGTCAAGAAATCCTACCACTCGTCAGCAACGATCCATCTTTGAAGGTGAAAACCATAATCTCCCACATCACTACGGTTTTTAACTATACTCCATCTTACCGAAAGGCGTGGTTAGCAAAGACCAAGGCGATTGAAAAGGTATATGGAAACTGGGAGGAGTCATACCAAGAACTTCCTTGCTACCTGAATGCACTCCAGACTTATTCTCCGGGTACTGTTTACATTCTGGAAACAGTGCCAGCATATGCCCCAGATGGTAATCAACTCAACGGAAATGGAATATTCAGTCAAGTGTTTTGGGCTTTTCAACCTTGCATCACAGGGTTTGCGTCATTCAAACCAATTATACAAATTGATGGGACTTGGTTGTATGGGAAATACAAAGGCACACTACTGATGGCAGTTGCACAAGATGGCAACAACAACATTTTCCCAATTGCCTTTGCCCTAGTTGAGGGGGAGACTGGTGGTGCTTGGAGCTTTTTTCTGAAAAAATTTGCAAACACACGTGGCTCCTCAACCAGATCTCTGTTTGATCTCGAATATACATTCATCCATTGAAAGTGCAAACAATAATCCTGCAAACGGTTAGCATGACCCTCCTTCTACGCATGTGTATTGCGTTAGACATATCGTCCAAAATTTCACGAGGGAGATTAAAGATAAAACACTAAGGAAAGCGGTTATGAATGCGGGATATGCATTGACACAACCAACGTTCAAATATTATCGCAACGAGATCCGTTTGACAAATCCGGAAGCCGGTAGGTGGATCGACAATATTCCGGTAGAAAAATGGACTAGGTCATACGACAATGGCCAAAGATGGGGCCACATGACAACAAATCTAATTGAATCGATGAATGGGGTATTCAAAGGCATACGAAACCTCCCGGTGACTTTGGTAAAATCAACATATTTTAGGATGGCTTCGTTGTTTTCCAAAAGAGGTGAAATATGGAATGCGGTGTTGCAATCTGGACAACTATGGAGTGAAAGCTGCATGAAGTACATTAAGGCAGAAAGTGCCAAAACCAACACCCATATGGTTATACGGTTTGACCGACACAACCACAACTTCATTGTGAAAGAGACAATCGACCACAACGAGGGCCTGCCAAGACAAGAATATAGGGTTGTACTACCTTCTCGTTGGTGCGATTGTGGCAAGTTTCAAGCCTTTCGTATGCCTTGCTCTCATGTCATTTCTGCGTGTGCCTATACTCATCAAGACGCGCTACAACTTCTGTCACACATTTACAAATCTGAAACATTGCTCAACGTTTACAACAACAACTTCCCTTTGGTAGCAAAACCAGATTATTGGCCTGCATACGACGGTGAAATAGTATGGCACAATGACAAAATTCGAAGGAATAAAAGTGGGTCGTTCCAAAAGTAAGCGCATCACAACCGAAATGGACTTCCTTGACAAGCTGGAAAGAAAGTGTGGTTTATGTCGTCAGGTCGGACACAATCGCAAAAATTGTCCGAATCGGGCTACTGCCTCAACCACATAAAAATTGTATTACATAAAATATTTCCTTTATTATGTTGTAAACATTAGGGTTTTTCGTTAACAGTATTTGTTACAATAAACATTGCGCGAACAAGAAAAAAAACACGATATTCCGTCTACGAAATTACAACTGTTAAAACAATATCATCTGACCCACGCATCATCAACATTACGTCGCTGTCTGTTTTGACTTCCTCCAACCAAACATTAGGTCTTCCTGTCGCATGTGAGGTTGCTGTTCGCCTTTGCTGAATCCTTCTAATTTTTTTCCCTCCACGATGTCTCCATCTAGCCATCGCATCAACTCCCGCTTCAGACGCTCCATGGAGTGAATGTGCTAGAATTTCATTTTTATCGGAGGTTTTGTGGCGGAGAAGATAACGTAACCATCTTTGATAAAAATCATGGGCGATGTCATGACGCAAATCACAGAGTAAAAAATAATAAAACAGTGCGAGAAAGTGTGAGAAATGACAGAGAAACAGACGAATTATTTATAAAAACAACATTTTTCCATAGGAGCCAAATGAGATGGCGCCTCCTCTCACTTTTAAAGTGTAGGCGCCATCTCACTTGGCTAAAAGAGAGAGGAGGCGCCAAGTGGGATGGCGCCTAGGGCAAAATGCTTAGTGGAGGCGCCAAGTGAGATGGCTCCTCCTTTGGAGAGTCATCTCAAACATGGTTATTTGCGTAATTTTTTTTCGAAACATGGTTATTTGCGAATTTTTTTTTAATACTTGATTATTCCAAAAAAAAATTCCCGAAATTTTGACCAATTATTTTTCTTAATCTTTTGACCAATTATTTTTATTTTAACGAATTTTTTAAAAAAAATTTTAATTAAAAAAATTATTATCAAATAAAATCTCAAGTTAATTCTGTTTATCCTTGCTATGATGATAGCATACATCACTTACTTATTTCCTATTAAAAAGGTCCACTACTTTCCACGATATCTATGTTTAACTTTTATAATAATTTAGGTTTTTTTTATTATTTTATTTAAAATTTTATTACACAATAATAAAATAAATGAATTTTTTACAATAAATATTTAACTTAAAAACTTTATTTAAAATATATATATATATATATATATATATATATATATATATATATATATATATATATATATATATATATATATATATATATATATATATATATATATATATATATATATATATATATATATATATATATATATATATATATATATATATATATATATATATATATATATATATATATATATATATATATATATATATATATATATATATATATATATATATATATATATATATATATATATATATATATATATATATATATAAAATAAAAATATTAAATCCATGATGGTGATTAGTAGGTGTAAGACATGTTATGATATTATATTTTAAATTTTAAAAGATTAAATTGTGATGTGTACATTCTAATAAATCACGCTTTTATTCTTAAAATTTTAATATGATATGAGAAATATAATTATTTTAATTGATTGTATATGTAATATTATTTTATGCCTTCAATTGTTGTAATTTTTTTTTAAAATTTTATTGTTTTCTATGATCAAAATTTTAAACTTGCATATTTAATTTAGAATTATATTGATTTTATTTATAAAAAAATTGTTTTTTAAATTTATTCAATAATTAATATATATGAGTTTATTAGAGCACATGTTAAGGATATTATAATTAAAAAAAATATAAATCTAAGTATAATAAAATTATATTAAAAGTTTCAAAACATTAAATACATGTATTTCAAGAAAATATTTCTACAAATAATTTATTAACCTGTGTCTTTGATGCATATATATATTAACTTTTTCCTAATATAAAAAGTAAAAATTAACTAACTGCACTTTTTAGGAAGAGGCATCAAGATTAACAAACAAATTGGCAAGTAATTATTCCGACACAAAAGCTGTGAAATTGGGACAACTACTAAATGTATGTACAACTAATGCACTTGCTAGGGCTATGTTAGGAAGGAGAGTGTTCAATGATGAGAATCATGGTAATGACCCTAAAGCGGATGACTTCAAGAATATGATTCTTGAAGCAATGGTGTTAGGTGGAGTTTTCAACATTAGTGATTTCATTCCTTCATTGGAATGGTTAGACCTTCAAGGAGTTCAAGCCAAAACCAAAATATTACACAAGAAATTTGATGCATTCTTAACAAACATTATTGAGGAACATGAGACTTCTAATTCTAAGAGTGAAAAACATAAGGATTTGCTGACTACTTTGTTGGCACTTAGAGATAAAGGAGATGATGAAGGAAATAAACTCACCAATATTGAGATCAAAACACTTCTTTTAGTAAGTTACCTACTACTCTACTTGCTCATATTTTATGGCATTCATATTTTTGATATACTTTTAATTGTTAGACTAAAATCAACAATTATGGAGCAAACAAAAATATTGGGTGGTAATAGTTTTTTTTTTCCTGTTCATTATTATAAGTAATAATTTTTTAAATTTATTGAATAATTAATATATTTAATATATAATAATATTTAAATATATAAGTTATTCAGTGAATTTAAAAAAAAAAATATTTTTATATAATAGTAATCAAGGATCTACATTATTACTATACATTTTTCAATTTTAAGACTCATTATCAAGACATATACATTTTAATTTTGTCTAAATTAAAAGTACTATAACCTTCCTAAATTTAATAACGATCTTGATTATAATTTTTTATTTTAAATTTTTCTAGTCATAATTCTAGTATTCAAAATGAATAGGTAGTATCATGAGTTTGAATCTATTCCTCTTTTATTAGACGTTCTTTAATATTTATCGAGAGCTAAATTTTAATTTTTTTTAATATTGAATCTTTTATAGAACATATATTTATAATTTATTTTATTTTTTCGTATAGAACATGTTTGTAGCTGGAACAGATACATCATCAAGTACTATTGAATGGGCCATTGCAGAACTGATCAAAAATCCAAAAATCTTAGCTCTAGTCCAATAAGAATTGGACATTGTTGTAGGCCGAGACAGGAACGTGAAAGAAGAGGACATACAAAACCTACCTTACCTACATGCAGTCATAAAAGAAACATTTCGTTTGCATCCATCAACACCTCTTTCCCTTCCAAGAATCGCTTCAGAAAGTTGTGAGATATTTGGATACCACATTCCTAAGGGTGCAACTGTTTTGATTAACGTATGGGCCATAGCTCGTGACCCAAAACAATGGGATGACCCATTAGTATTCAAGCCCGAAAGATTCTTACAAGGAAGTGACAAGTGTGATGTTGATATTAAGGGAAATAATTTTGAAGTTATACCTTTTGGTGCTGGACGTAGAATTTGTGTTGGGATGAGTCTTGGGCTTCGTACGGTTCAACTTTTAACTGCTACGTTGGCCCATTCGTTTAATTGGGAACTTGAAAATGGACTCAAACCTGAAAATATGAACATGAATGAAGCTTTTGGACTTACTCTTCAACGAGTTGTGCCGTTATCTGTGTACCCTAAATGTAGACTCTCGCCTAATGTGTATTCATCAAGTTTCTGAATTTAGACATTTATTTTTGAATTTTTTTTCTTTTTCGAGAGACACTCTATATTTCTTTATCTTATATTTAATTATAATAATGTGAATAAATACGACTTAATATGTCCTGTGAGAGGATCCCCAAAGAGTCAAAGATGTAAAATATATTTATATCATTATATATTATCGTACTCCAAATTTTCCCTACCTCGATAATTTCAATTATAATTTTAAAATAGAAGAAATATTTAAAGATGATACAACAGTATCTGATGGCCCATCTTTATCCAAGACTAAGGGTGTATTTTAATTTGGGAAAATGGGGCTTTCTAAATCAGAAAGACTCATAAACCCATTCGCATAGCATGTTGGCCAATGACCCATGCGATTCGAGAATAGAAAATTATTTCAAAGGAATAATAATTATTAAGTTCTAAATTACGACAACCCATTAAAATGCACATTGTCTCATTTTTTCGTTTTAATGGTTGAATAGCAAAAAGGGGGGTATGGCTGTAGATTGCAGGCCCACCGAGTTTCTTTAAGCCAAACCCATTGGACGTTTTTTTATTATTTACTGTTATGACTAAACACTACTACTATTGTTAAGAGAAACCTTCCACAAATTATAAGTGAATAATTGTAATATTATTAAAACATTTTTTGCTTTAGTAATCATTTTTTTATTAAAAGTTATTTTTAATGTAAGAAGATTTGTTTTAAAGGGGCTAAGGCCCAATTTGTACAAAAATGTTGTTTGCAAATAATAATAAGGACAAATATTGCTGGGCAGATGGTCTAAAGGCCCAAAACTCGATTATTGGCAGTTTGTTGGGTAAAACAAAAATGCTGGCAGGCCCAAAGGCGTTTTTGCATTTGATGGACAAAAGGAAGAAACAAGTATTACCGGGATAATTAATAACGCAAGGCCCAAACCAAGAACATCTACTGTGCCAATTAAATGGAGAATGCGCGTGTTCCAGGAAATAAACATTTACTGTACATATTTTTACAAATCAAATCTTTTTCTAAAAACACAATCAAATCTTTATCTAAGTCTAAGCTCAAAATACGTTAGTCTAAAAACTAAGAATATAGAAGAATCAATATAATGCGAAAATCTGGGAATTATTTGTTCAATAGCGTTGAATCCAAATCTTACAGTAAAACGAAAATCAATCCAGAAGCAATTTACAACAATCTAAATCCCTAATTTCTTTAAATGTCCCTAAATCTAAGCTAATTTAATTATAACAACAATCCTAATAAAACTCTATAAATAGAAAAACGAAATTAACAGTGAAAGGGGGATTTACGGTGAAAAGATGGACGAAGATACAAAGAGAAGACATAAGAACCGAACGAAGAAAGAAGAATACCCTTCCAGTTGAAGACCAAGGATTGATGTGATTGAGGTTTCGATATCCGAAACCCTAATCGCTAGCCGCTGACCACCTTGTCATCGGCCATCATCTTCAACCTCTCACTCCACCCTCACTTGTCAAACACAGAGAGAAGAAGATCAGAAGAAGGAGAAGCTAATCAGACGTACTTGAAGAACACAGATGCTAGAATCGAAAGGGGTAAAAACCAATTTAGTTTCCTTATTTTTTGTTGTTTGCTCGGATTTTTGGGATGGGTTACGGCAAAGAAGGTTAGGTTAGAGCCGCCGTCGGGGAATTTGGTTAGGGCTAGGAAAGGGGGTAAAGGGTTTGGCTGTCGCGAGAGAGGAGGAAATAACAATTGTTGTACAACTGAAATGTAGGAGAAAATGGTTAGAACAAAGGTGATAATTCCGTTATGATCCTATAGGCGCGCGTCTATATTAACTAAAGTACACCCTTCAATCTCATCCGCATGATCCTTGTTGGACGGCCATAGGCCAAGTCCTACCATAACTCTCATACTCCTTCACCCGTGTGATCCACCAAACCGCCTCCATAATGTGTTAGGCCTAAGCCCAGTTCCTCTTCGCACCCCCATTTCACTTAATTACTAAACACCAGAACAAATCATACCCCCTGCTGAATTCATATTTGGGCCAGCCCAAATTTCTTTTTAGAACCCCCTAGTTTTACTATATAACTGAAAACGCACCCCCCTGATTCAAATTAAATTATTTAATTTTTTATATTATTTATTTTACATTATATTTTTTACCTATTTTTAATTATTATTATTATTATTATTTCTTTTTTTATAATAATAATAATTATTATATAATATCAATTTTTATATTATATGTAAATATTATATTATCATCCAAATTATTTTTATTCAAAAACTCATTCATATATATATTTTCTTATATTATTTGCATTAAATATTTTTTAATCAGGCATTAATAAGATATTTTGCAATTAATACTGTTGTACCCCAAAATTTTCCCTCTCATATTTTCCCAAGATCTTACTCTTACATGGTGATCACAAGCATTTGACTATAGGAAAGATAAATTTTTTTGAAGATAAACAAGGAGTCTTCGATTGGAATTTTGACAAAATCATTCGATTGACATGTTAAAAGGTAAACCCCACTTTTATTATATTCCCCAGCAGAGTCGCCAGTTCTGTGATACGGTGGCAGAACTGACTGTTATATTAGTTTGCGTTTTTTATTCGCAAATGTCACGGTAAGCAAGAGTCGTCACCGACTTTTCTTTTATCCAACAAAGGAAATGGTGAAAAGAACAGAAAAATATTTTCTAAGTAAGGGGGGTAGATTATGGAAAGGAAAGGTGTTAGCACCCTTTCCATCCGTGGTTTTCCACAGGCTCTTAGGTAATTGCTCATTTTTGAAAATTGTTTTCGTGTTTGTATGTTTTGAAAGATTTTGTTTGCTTTATGATAAATCTTGTATCATTCCTCAAGAGTGTGATAAAGCGTTTTTGAAAAGAAGTTTGAAAGTGCGTAAGTGTAAAAGGGAATCAAATTTGAGCAAGTACTTAAGAACTGTATACCTACTCGAAAAAGGGCGTTCTTTTCCTCCTTTCCTTTAGATAGTGCTATCCCACTATTAGTGAGTAAGTATCCCTATCGTAGGACGTTAAGAGACTATCGAAAGGGACGTTAATGGTCATTGAAGGCAACATGTAGAGATACCTTAGCATTTCGAAGGGAGTGTCATCATGTAGGCAACATCGAGGGACAAGATCATTTCTCGTAGGAAACTCGAGGGACATTTAAGGGACCATGATCTTTATGATGACTTTTAAAATTAGGGTCTTTGCTAAGATATCCCTACGTTCGAGGGACATGACCATTTCCGAAGGCAACAAGTGGGGTTATACCCTAAGGGTGCAAGTGTGCGACAGTGTGCTTTTTTCATGCACGCCTAATTTTACTAACAGCTTATATACAAGCATATAAGAAATATAAAAGTGGGAAATAAAGTTCCTATAGCTATTACAAGGCTTTGGTATAATTACATAAATAATGACTGAAAAGTAAAGTGCGGAAATCAAAAACCCTAATTTAGCTATTACAAACCGGGCACAATTACATAATAAAAAATAATCGTATGAAAAATAATAACGCGCAAAAATCAAGACTGGCCTACGTTTGAAACCCTAAACGTCTATTTGCCTATTAAAAAATATTTTTTGGTATTTTATGAAATAAATTAGAAATTTAACATAATTTCTAATTAATTTTAAATTAAAGAAAAAAAAGTTAAAATTTAATTAAATTAATTTGCAAAAATTAATTTTTCTTAAAAAACTCTAAATCCTATTTTTTGATGATTTTCTGATTTTTTTTTATTTAAAAAATGAATAAACAAAAAATATAAACTAAATAAAAAAGAATAAAGAAATTAAAAAATGGGCCTGGGGGTGAGAAAGCAAACTGAGGGGTATGTTGTTGAATTCCAAAGCCCAGATCTTGTGCAAGCCCAAAGCCTGCGCTGAATCTGGTGTTGTTGTGTTAGGGAGGTCTATAGTACGCCTGCGTGCTAGAGGCGTTGGATCCAGGTCAACTGAGATCTGATGGTGTTGACCTGCTTAGCCCATGACGCGTGTGAATGGCCTGGCTACACTAGATCTGGAGGAAACTCATTAGAAAAAATAAACTTCAAGACCTGGGAATCGAACCCAGGTCTATTCCCTTTGCACCCTGAAGCTTTTTCCATCTGCACTGCTGGATCATTCATGTATATAAATAAAACAAAATTATATAATGTAAAACAAAGACAACTGTTGAGTTATCGAACACGCGCGCCCAAATTGGGGCCCTGATATTTGAACAAACCAATCACAGCATCCTAATATGCCACACAAAGTTCTTGTCCGGTAAAACCACCTTGGACGGTGGTTCTAGTTACCTTCTTCGTTTGAACAAAAATTCCAACCTGCGAAATATCAAGAAAACGAAGGCAAAAGTGACCCTACCCCCTAATTTGGGGTCTACGAGTTCAATGGTGATGGCCATTTGGCCTGAGGAAGCCTGTATCATCATGTTCATGCCTTGGCTGTTTTAAAGCCCTAACAATGGAAACTCTCTAAATCTGCGCTAAAAAACTCATGCTTCATGTTAGACTAGATTAAAATAGTAATATAAACATGAATATGGAACGAAAATTGATTTATATCATATATTTGCAAGGTTTCAAATCCCAATCTTACCCAAATCCGGTGACACGTGGATCTGGAGTTCTAGGGTGTTGCACGTCTTGTGGAGAGTATGAATGATCTGCTGAGGGCTTCAGAAGATGAATGATGCAAATTGTTTGGCCTGGAAACCACTGAATCGCGTGGTGCAAACTTTCACTTTTCCTTTAGATTTTTGAACTTTTGCTAGGGTTTGTAGAGGCATCTTTCACGTGTCTCTTTGGTCTAGGGTTGATGTGCTTATGTAGTGAATCAGATTAGGGTAACAATTGTGGAAGAATATCCATGGCATTGAGTGCAAGATTTGTTCCAAATAACCACTTGAAAACCTTTCCTATTTTGGACATCCTTTCCCATCTTGGCTTGCACGTTTTTATTTTGATATGCCAACATGTTTTGTCCATCATTTGATAAG